GTGCTGTAACCTAAACCAGCCAGTTGCTGGCAGTGACCTTCTATTTAAAGGACAGTTGCTGACTGTTAATCTCCTTCCGCTTCGTTGCGCGTGTTTTCCAAAATGTCGAAACTATTCTGTTAAGCAGAGAAAGATATCGGTGGTTATGCTAGTTAACCAAAGCAAGTTTGGAGAGAACAGAAGGCAAAAGCAGGAGACAACTTAAGGAAGATATTTGAATAAGAACATGTCAATGTTTCACTTGTTGTGTTTTTCTTTTGTAAGGGCTTCATGTTTCAACCATTGGTGATGTAATGTGAGTGTTTGTATTGTAGGGGTTTCAACATCTGGCAGTTTTTAATTTTTACATGGGAGAAGACCACAGTTTGCCTTTTGTGTCTATTCAAATGTTTTATCATGCTTTTTACTCATCACTCGGGAGCGCGTTTCTTTTTTTTTTCTTCGCTGTACAGAGGGTAAAGTTGGGAGACGTAAATTGTCAAGTGCCATAGACCTTGAACTGTTTGAATAGGGGAGGACCTTTGACCCCAGAGCCCAAGCAATATCCACATATTCACAATCTCCTGAGTACATTTGCAGCATAATGGCTTAAAGCAATATTCAAAGCCTTTATTTTCATTCAGAAAAACATCAAATAGCATTTTTAAAAAACACAACCTTTTAGTAATCCCTAATGATTTTACATGATTTTTATATTGTGAAAAGAATCTTTTTTTGTAATGAAATAGCACAGGAAATATATATGGTAGTGCTAAAAAAAAAAAAAGATTACTCTGCATTGTGTAAAAGTGAATGTTTGTCTCACTTTGCCCAAGGCTTTTTACTGTTTGTTGCTTAGATTCCATAACTCCCGATGTTCATCTGTGCAAAATAATCAACTTACACTGTTGGGAAAACTAGTCAAAGCTGCATCTCAGAACATTCCTAATGTTTGTCGAAAAGCAAAAACTGTCAGAAGGAAAATGTTGTTTTTAATTCCACTTCATGTTCCTCTCCATTAATATTCATTCATTTGTAAATATCTGTTAAGTGAGACGTATTTCCAAAAGAAATGGAAATGATGAAATTCACATACTAAGTAATGGGCCCCCATGAATTCTAACAGCACACTTGTGACCACTGAATTGTTTGTTGGATGAACTGCTTTTACATATTGTATTCCCTCAAATAGTTTAAAGTAGATTGTGGCATCTACTGTACTCTTCCTGTATGTAGTTAAGTTTGACCCATATTTTGTGCTCGTTGCACTGTGGAACCAAAATGAAAACACTGTGGTAATTAACAAAAATTAAACGTCCCTTTTAAATAATCAATAAGCATAGTCACGCTGTTTTCAAGGTAGCTGTTGTGACGCTGTACCCTTAAACTGAATCAAAATTTTATTCGCAGGCAAATGACGATATAATGTGCATTTCCCAAATTCCTCACAGAACATATAGTGTTTTACACAGATGAATTGTTTATATTTGTATTAATTTTGTTGGTGATTTCTGTTTACTTTCTAAGAGTAGGGGGAAACATTTCTGGGGTAACGGTCACTTTATACTCATGGTAAAAAAAAAAACAGTCGGACATTGTAGACAATCTTGGGAGATAAAACATGTCACATTTTCTTCATCCATGTCGGTCTGTTTCTTATGCTCCTGTATTGTTATTTATTTAGCAGTCGACTGTGGTTTTTAGATCTTACTAATCAAATTGTAAATACTCAAAAAATTAATAATGGCATTAGAGACTTGCGATTGTAAAACCAGCAATAAATTGCAATGCAGAGGCACTCGTTTTAATGTATAGCTAGTATTTCTAAGGTTTCTCTGGAAACACCCACAGTGAGATAATGATTGATATGCATTTATCCAACATTCCAGATTTTGTACATAATTACCTGTTTCTGAAGTAACCTGTGGAAAATAAAACTAATGCTCTTTAACAAGGATTCTTTTGTCTCTTTATTTCGTCCTCCGGGTTTCTCTGTTTAACCAGTGCAGTAAATGAATAACTCAGTACATACAGTACAAAGATACAGGTCGACGTGTGTGTGTGTGTGTATTCAGTATTAATTATATACTCTCAAAGGTACTCAGACTGCATTAGTTACAGAATAAGAGATGTTCAGTAGCAACAATACCACAATAATGAGTTTAATTTCTGCTCACTGGTAAATCGTGGTGCTGTGTGTAGATATCTAAAGGCTTACATATATACCGATGTGGGAAGGGGAGAGCAGACTTGTGGTACTGCAATAGCTCACTGCCTTTATTTAAAAAAATAAAACACTTCGGGAGGTTTTAGGAACAGATAATTACATAAAGTGTGTATAGGATGGTACAAACTCATCCTGCCTGTTCCTTTTTCCTGGTGTGTTGTATTTGTCATTAAAGGCCTCTTACACACACTGCAGGCAACATGCTGATGTTTTTAGATTGCAATAATCTGTGAGAATCTAAAATGATGTTGCACAGGTTTAATGTATTAAAACCAAGTCTAGACTGGTGAACCCAGAGCAGTCTATAAAGAGCAGTGAGCTTGAGATAAGCTGCCACCTACAGAGGATAAACCTTTTTCAACATGGCCGTACCTCTGGCGCCATCCTCAGGCTAAACTTTACTCTATTTTTTGTTGTTTTTTACCCTGTTGTATCCATTTTTCATCCAATACTTTGTGAAGTGTGATGATCATTACATCCTCACACAGCTTCCAGCATGGCTATAGGCTTTTAGTTTTACTGTATGTAGAAGAAGCATTTTAGTTTTTCTTACAAACCCAAAGTAATGCTTACTGAATGACATCTGCATAACAAGCATAGTAGCAGAATAAACCTTAAAATTGTATCATCAATCATATACAGGTGTATGTAAATTCAATAGATTTGTATTGACAGACGCTGTGTATGCTTGTGTTTTGACAATTTTCCAATTTGGATCATCTCCTTACTCTGATGGTTTCTCAGAACTGTTGTGTGTTGTGTGTGTCATATGGGAATGCTTTATCTATGTGGACTGATTTTAAAAGATCTGGTCTGGGTTCTGTGACGTAACCCAGATGGCTCATCATGCAGAGTATCCCTTCAGAGGTCTGAGTGTTTTATTGAATGACATGGCAAAGCAGTTAAATTGAGAAAGTATGGTGACAAAGTGAGCTCAGTGATGCTGCCTTTGTGTGGTGGAATGGAAGGCACAAGATGAGTCCTCTCCCATGATATCACAACTTTATCTATAAATTTAGTTTAAGTCTAGTCTTGGCCTTGGACTGGTCTTAGATTCTCAGATTAGACTAGTCTCATTAAGCTGTTGCATACATATTAGGACTGGCTTATTTTAAGGGCCAGCTAAGCCTAAAGTGAGAACTTTGTTGCCATGGCAACAATCTGTTAGCATGTCCGAAGACACAGACACAAGCATACATGGTGTCCATTCAGTTATGTAGAGAAAATAAATGAGTAACAAATCATATAACAAATAACAGTGTCTCAGTTTATTTTTGTAACTCAGGTGTCACAAGGAAATATTTTAACCACTCAACCGAGCTGAAAGGGAGACGACAATTCTGTCTGATATCAGGCAAGGGTGATAACAATAGATAATACTGCCTTACATGGCCAGAAAACAGACTTAAAAACTCTTTCCCCCTGGCCATCAGACTGTACAACAGCTCTTAGTCAAG